GTTTCAGATGTTTTGATCTTTTTCTTTGCCAGTTAGTGAGCATAAATGTGTAATTTGGTAAAGAAAGTTCGGAACACCCATAACCATAACTTTGCTGACCTGTCCTCTCAAGCTTGACCCGAGGCTGCAGGAGCTCCAGCAGTCTCCTCTGCCGGTCGATCTCCTGCCTGAAGCCCGCGACCTCCTCCTCGTAGTCGACTATCGTCCTCTCCACCACCGCTAAGATCTCCCGGGCGGCTGTGCTCAGTTTCTCAGTGATGATTCCTCTCAGTATGTCGCTCTTGGACATGTTAGCGACGCCGTCGAGTGGCTCCGAGCCTCCGCTGCTGCTCGTCCAGCAAAACATGATTTTCTTTGTTTGTTTTTTCACAGTTTTGATGTCGAACGCGTTTGAGACTGTTACGGTGCAGCCACATAACGCGTCCGGGGAGAAACAACAGCTGTATCCTTTTCTGACCACTCTATCCGGACAGCCTTCAGTGACAATTCAACAACTCAACCAGTTTTAGTAATGTAATAATTATTTTACAAAGATTATTCTCCAAATGTTTGCTTTAAAAACTTTTTATTATTATTAGTTAGTGTCCTTCATATTTCTGTTTCTAATTAACACGGAAATTGCATTAATAACCGTTCAATTCAATATCAATTAACAAAAAGCGTGTTCATTCAAAAGTTTTCTCTGCTTTTCTTTTAAACAGATATCACTGTAAAGTAAATTTTCTTAAATTTGTCAATTAAAAAAACGTAACAAAGGTTAAGTCAGAGTAAAAAACTCCCCTTAAAGTTTCTCTTTGTTTCCCCTTTTTGTCTGGCTTTTATCAGTGGATGTTTTTATGTTTTCTGATGTACTGCTCTTCGTTCAACTTTTAATATTTCCTTCTTCAAGAGACTTTTATGGGAGCTAGTTTCCACTAATGAGAAAAACAATCTTTTTTGTTTTACATCCACTTTTGTAATTAGCTCAAAATTTTGACTCAATATCTTTAGAAGAAACAAGTTTCAAGATGACATAACTCTAAATTTCAAACGTTAACATTGACGCACCATCCTGTGGTGCAAATTGGTTTTCCATGAACGTATAACCTGGTATATATATTTCAGCTGA